ATCTGTTAACGAAAACAAAACCTATTTTTTTCTTTATTAAACGTTTTTAGTACATCATGTTTAGGTAATCAAGTTTTTAATTTGTAATACAGTTTTTTATTTAATATGCAGTACCTTATTAGTGGAGACATATTAACGCTTAATAATATAAATAGAGGTATAGTTAAAAAAAATCATTTCTTAAAATAATATTTTCTCTAATCTCATATCTGCACACACAACCTGCTTTGCCTTTTACCAGTACTCTGAAAGAGATTCTAATAATACCTACACTTACTTATAAATGTTCATACTTCAGAGGCAATCATAAAAATTCCGTCTTCGCCCAAGAATGGTCGCCTTTTAAAACACTCGTGAAAGGAAATAAAATAGCTCGTTTCATTCCAGAAACTACTTTGCAAGTGTCTTTTTTTTCCTTATTTCACTCCTGCAACCGGTGTATATTTCACAGCTAGGACATCTCAAATAAGTTTCTCAATTCGAAGTCGTAAAAAAAACTTGGGAGAGAAAAAGGGAAACTTTTTGAATATTTCAACTTTGCGATTTGCAAAATATACGAATCAAGATTGTCAAAAACTTTAAAAAGAAACAAGCTTATGTATTATAAAAGTTGAAAAAAGAAATGCAACAATATATTTCTACCTCCGACGAAATATTCCATTACTGAGATTTTTGAATCGTTAAATCCTGTGAGAACGGCTTTTTCTTGGAAACATTTTTTATAAATTGTTCAATTTGCTGACAGTCGTGTCGTTTTCTGGTGATTTCCTTTGGTACATATTTCAAATATATTTGCATTTATACTACAAACGAGAGAAAATGTATAAAAAAATCTTATTGAAATAACGAACGATGTGTTGGAAAAACATGTTAAAGATAAAAAAAAAGATAAAAAAAGTTTGTTGGATGATACTTTGTAGTGTCTACTAGCATAACATTAACTCTATATGTGATCCGCAAATTATTGTTCCGGGTCTAGGTGTAATGACTGTGTCAATTTGTGTAGTTGTAAACACACCCACATCATAGGAAAAAAACAAAGTGTTCTTAATCCAATCAAATGATTCCAAATCCCAACGTAAAAAAATCCTTTAGAGTACAGAAAAATAATTTATCTACTTAATGTAATAATTTATTTTTAATAAAATGTAACCATTAGATATGAAAAGTTCCTACCAATTCATTTTTATTACCTTTTAAATTTAAGGCAAAAAAATAAGACACGATATTTGGGAATAAAGTGTTCTGATGAAAATTGACCATGTTATTGGTATAATTCTATATATTTCGCCCATTCCCAGACTATGACCAGACATTATCCGTCCACTTTTACAGCGGCATATAGATAAATTGAAAGTGCGTACAATAAAAACGTACTTTGTGGGCAAAGGAGCATCGTTTCATAAAACTGTGTCGTTTGATTTTATTGCAGTGAGAGAGAACAATATCTTTGTTTTAGGACACCCCTTTTTTATATCATTCGTCTTGTCAAAATGAGCGTTATACTTTCTATTTGATCGTCCTTTGAGATATTACACAACCGTTGAATTTCAACGTTGCTAAAGAATGGTATCTTGGTACGCATATCTATGTATCAATGGCACCTATCTCTCCGAGTCTCGGACGACTTGGTAGGTACGTGGCACATTTGCTCGCATAGCGTTGATTTGAAATACTGAGCTATAGATAAAATTCTTTAGCATTTTTTAGCTTGACATAGTCTCATGAGTTTAAAAACTGATAATATATAAACTGAGGCCCAATCCCACCCCTTCCCTATCCCTTCCCGATACTTATATCCGCAACCCCTATCCTCAAAAGGCCGGCAACGCACTTGTAACTCCTTTGGTGTTGCGGGTGTCCATGGGCAGCGCCGATTGCTTACCATCAGGTAATCCGTCTGCTCGTTTGCCGACTTATACCATGAAAAAAAAATTTGACCAGCTTGCCGAAGTGTGTCCTTGATAATTAGTTTTCGGTTGAGACTTCATCACCAACAAAAACAGAATTAAAATCCAATGCAATCGCTGAATACACAAATTGAACGGAGCAAACAGAAAAACACCAATTTTATACGGAAACCGCTGAATCCGATGCCAACGTTCCGGCGTTGATGTCGATAGAGTATTTATGGACCAAAGCCGTTGGCGATATACTGAAAATATATTTTTTAAAATTATGGACTTAGTTTAAATTTTTATTTTGCGTTATTACGTTTGGTAGGCTATTTTATTAAAAATATTTTTGACAGTCACATAAAAAAACTGTGCGATCACACACTACAGTAAAGTAGCACAGTTTATTTGTACTACATATACATTATCATACATTTATCTCGTTATAGTACAAACATTAGACATCAGAAAACATTATCCATGTTATGATAGAAATAAAAAGTAACAAAATATTAGAAGATCAAAAAGATATTCTTTACTTTGACAGTTATACATACTTAAACAGTTAATAAGACCTCTTATAGATTACATAAATACATAGTAATATTGTTAGTCTGAAAAAAGTAAAAGTACCTAGGACATAGGTAGCAACTACCAGATAATAGAGATAGTCATATTTGTGTACTCGTTCCATCCCTTCCCTTTCGACATCGTACCACGAGATAGGTGACTCAGATGTGCCACTTTTTTTGTCAGGAGAAAATTATTTAGTGACCTGTTCCGCCCAGGGTAAGGCGAGAGAGAGTGTCAGACTCTTACTGACTAAAACCTCCCTCATTCCCTCTCCTGCTCTGGGACGAGGCCGCGGTGACTCATTGCGCTTAACCCACAACCCCGGCTGACCATCAGCCGTGTAGGGCTCCGGCTGTGGTGGTTTATTGGCTCTTTGAGGTACGCGCGGAACGCTACGCGCCGTCCGCTCGGGTCTTGTCGGGCGGCGAGTGAAAGTGTCCTCTGGAACTCAAGTGTGCCAACAGGGCAGCAGTCTTTGCCGGATTCTGTATTTCCCGAAGTGTATAATATGAGTGTCTTTAAAGCCCGAGTGAATAGATTGATTGTGTAATAGGCATGCTCCATCGTATGTCTCATCATAGCATACGACCAAGCGAGATAGTAGCCAAATTTCTTTTGTCAACATCTATTGACTTCATTCTTCATGTACTTCATTTAAATATTTTGCAGCGAAAGTGTTACTTAAAGACAAACTCATATTTAAGTTAGCAAGTTAGGCTTTTGGATTGCCTCTGAATATAACGATCGAGAATGTTAATATCATCTGTTTTCTAGCCATAGTAGGTGCTTCAAAAAGTTGACATCGTTGGCTGCATAACATACCAATGAGTTCGGCCGCATTATTATTCAGATGACGAAAGTTCGAAGACCGTTAAAATGCTTCGAACAAAGTTAAAAGCTATTAATGGTTTGTCCTTGGAAATGAAAAGTTTTAATCTACTCAGATTCATTTCTTAGTCTCTTTGAAGGTTATTTCAATAAACTTGTCCGTGGCGGCATTTTCTTCATTGGTATGGTAATGTTCATCGAATTGAGAGGCAAATAATGGGTCTTTTGTCTTAATTGAATGCATCAAATGCCTTGAATGTTTCCCGATAATCTTTCACTACTCACCTTATTTATCGAATTGCGACTGATACGTTATTACAACATAAGTTTAAATTATCTTCATTGATTTTTATTAAAGAACAAAAATGGAATGATGTTGTACTGTTGTTAAGTTTTTCAAATCACATCTCCTTTCGTCATGGGGAGCTAATAGATGCAGGTGACAACGTGTCGTTCGCGTAGAGGAATAAGGGGAGGCCTTTGCCCAGCAGTAGACGTCTTCCGGCTGATGATGATAATGATGATGACGATGATGATAATGATACCTTATCAATCAGTCATACTTAAAACAGAAGGAGAGACACGAAAATAAAAAATAAAAATACAACTGAAAAATAAATAAACTAAATTACAGAACATAATCAAAGAAAGTCAACTTAATGATCGTTGAAAGAAGTTCCGCAGTCCCCACTTGAGACGTTGCGTTTACTAATTGTTTCTTCAACGAAGTCTTAGTTACAGACACCGACGCCTTTGACATCATTAATGAAGTTATCTAGATAACAGGAAAACTAATTAAAACGAAACATTTATCTTTCACTTCGTTTTGTATTCAATATAAGTGAGTAAAAACCATCCACGAAATCTATCGTATAGGATACGAAATTTTGCTTCTGTATAAAGTACATACGAGTAGCTATTATAACCCACTTCAGGAAAGGAAGAAATTTATCTATAATTGAATTAAGCAAAACTGAACGCTTTGTTTCAAATTCCAATTATTTCCAGCTATAGAAAAATGGCTGCTAGTTCGCCATTTTTTGACCTAGTTTAAGTTTTTCCTTTTTCGAATCTCTTGTTGTTTTTTTTCTAATTTTTATATCATTGTAGATTTAGCAATATGTCTTGATGTATGTATTATTAGAAAAATGTCCTATTAACGTCTTAAAATTGCTACATCAGTATTATAGACGAAAAATAAGGAAGATTAAGAAGAAATAAGCTAATGATTCGAACTCCAATCATCCAATCTAATTTTGACACTAAATTTATCGCTGGATATTCAGGCCTAAAATATGCAAATTAATTTATACGGCTAATATTTTGAAAGTTATAAGCCGCTTTGATTTAGCAGTTCAACCCACGGTATGTCTATTTTAAGATGCTCGGAGTTTCACTCAATTATTACTAAAATTGATTAAACTTTCTTTTTCAAAGGAAATTGGCTCCATAGTCGAATGGTCGGAGGTACAGTGAACAAGTAAGATTTATTGAAATTTAAATGATTACTAAGCATTTCTTATCGAGCAAATTCAAATGTGAATTGATTGATTTGGAAATACCTTAGTTAATCATAATGCCTGCAACGCAGTGATGATACATTTTAATGTATCATACATGTTAATGGTTTGTTTTAAAATTAATTTAAAACATTTCACAAGTCATTATTACTTAGAACTACTTAGAAGTAAAGAGTTTTTGGTCATGCGGGTCGTGTCGATGGTGTCGGTCGTGTCGGTCGTGTCGGTCGTGTCGGTCGTGTCGGTCGTGTCGGTCGTGTCGGTCGTGTCGGTCGTGTCGGTCGTGTCGGTCGTGTCGGTCGTGTCGGTCGTGTCGGTCGTGCCGGTCGTGTCGGTCGTGTCGGTCGTGTCGGTCGTGTTAGTTGTATCGGTTAAGCTGCTCGTAATCGCCGTTGTCCCTTTTTTTTAAGTACTTTGCCTTACACTTGTATTTTCTCCTGTGTCGTGAGTGCATATAGAAACATACAATTTCACATACAGAAGCCACCCAGAGCCGGAACAATAATTTGTAGATCACACAAAGAGTTGTTCCGTGCGGGAATCGTACCCGTGACACGTTGCACGGCTGCGACTATTCCATATCGGTTGAGTCATGTCGGTCGTATCATATGAGTCAGTCGTGTCGGTTGTTTCGGTCGTGTCAGTTGTTTGGGTTGTGTCAGTCGTGTCGCTCGTGTCAGTCATGTCGTATTGAACACATCGTGACTGTCGGTTGTATCGGTCATCTTGTTCGGATCGTGTCGTCGGTCGTAGTTCGTATCAGTCGTAACGTGTCTGTCGTGTCGGCCGTATCGGCCGTGTTTGTCGTGTCGGTCTTATCGGTCAGCCTTGTCCAACGTATCGTGTCGGTTGTGTCTTTCGGGTCATGTGGCTCGTATTGGTAGGATGTGAGAAGAAGAAAGATTAAGGAGGTCAATTCAAAAAAAAGAAATCTAAAGCACTAAAAGTTATTAATAATTATTAATTATGTTTTCTTAAGTAAAATGCAGTTTCGCGCTGCTGGTTATCGACTGATAATGCTGTTAAAGGCTAACGATCACCTCGTTCGCTCTTACGATTACCTCGCAAAGCTCTAAGTAGCACGCCTACGTCTATGTGTCAAAAGTGTGACTTAATGCATCTGATAGGATGTGCTCTTAAACATTTAATTAAAAAAAATAACACAACTTTTCAAACACAAATCATAACTTCTTTAATATTAAAAAAACCTAGATCTGTTCAGTGACGTAATAAGATTTCTGCCTTTCGTTTTCCGAGAAAAATAATGCTTCAAACGACGGATTATTCAAATGGGCAAAGCTGTTGCGATTATTCTAAATTCAGGCTGGAAGTGAGCGAGGAAGGACGGAACAAGGTAAAGTGGGCACTTTGCTAGCTTCTCTATGAATAGTTATGAATAATTGGAACGTGCAAACGTTGAAACCGAATTGATTCGTTTAGGTCGGTCTGCGGTTGTGTCGTAGTCACCGCCAACACATCGTGCATACGTTAACTATGGATAACTACATAACTTTTACTGATTTATTTTTGGACGTGGATACAGGTGATGGGTGTTAACTTAAATGGAAAAAAATGCCATTTGTTCATATATTGTTTACATCTTGTAGTTTGATCATTGAGAACTGTTATCTAACACTCACATTTCGAGTTTTATAGAGAATTTTCGAGTAAATGACGTGTGGATTATTCAATATGAAAAGATCTGACGTTATTATTTTAAGAATAACACTGCAAAAACTTAACAATGTTGCTCACAATAATATAAGAGACGACTAAAATCTTTAAAGTTTAGTTTTATGCAATAAACGCTTACTAAAATTACCAAAACTAAAGATCCTCGTGGAAAATTCCAGAAATTCTCTTTAAACACTGTAAGCTTATGGCATCAAGATTCAGTTCTGACGAAAGCCCCGTGTTTGTTTGTCTACAAAGCAAATTGGACCTAGTCGAACCTCAGATTGGTACGGAACTGTTCAAATATAAACAATGGGAGACACTTGACAAGCTTAGAACCTGTATTATATAGTAGCGAATCGTGCTATACCTCATTATGGTTTTGTTTTTGACAAGAATTACATGTAAATTTTTAAATTTTTTATATAGGGTTATAAAGAGAAAAACCAATTTAGGAATTGAGTAAATATTACGTATTTCGTAATATTTATTTTTAGTAAATATTACTTATTTCGCAATATTTACTGAATACGTCACGTAATTGTTTTGTTTTTTGTTTACAGTGTACAGAATCGAATTTAAAATCGACCACTGATATTCAAAATACTACACATTTCTTGATTTATACAAACTAACTACATACCAAAAATTCATACAGATTCAAAGACTTTTTTTCCTAATATTACAATTTCATCTAAAATATTCCTAATCTTTCCTATATTTACTTACGACGGAATGTCTTCATACTTTTTCAAGTTGACCTTTCATTTTTTCGTCTTATTTCCCAATTATTTCCGAGATGTACAGCCCGAATCGACAGGGGCTAAGCTCCCGCTTGTGAGCCGGATTATCGCCACTGAGCGAGATCAACATCTCTTTTTGTTCGTTCCTGACATCAACTTATGTTGCTTTTAACGATAAATTTTGTTCAGCTCACTGTTATTATGAATTACAAGTTTTATTTCTATCACAATACGGTTTAAAATAATGAACGTGATATTAAAATGGTAAAAAATATATTTGCTATTACACGGGTAAAGTAAAATGTGAATAATTTAATACATTTCTAACACAAAACCAACACAGTTTCGCACGAATTTTTAATAAATTATTTTCTGATTTCATCCATTAGAATTCAATGTATTATATATTTATTTTTCACTGGTATTCAATAGTATTGTCTGAATGATGAAATAAATAATTATATTTATACTTTTATTGGAAGAATCGTTCAAACATAATTATCGTACGATTCTTTTGAACGGCATAAAACGTCGGACATTTATGTTTATATCCGTGCTCTATAAGAAAGACATTTCCTACAACGTAAAACCGACTGCAATCTGCTAATTCCAGAACAATTGAAGAGTTCTCAAACTGGCTGCTTCAAGCCATTTTAAATGAAATACTCTGAAGGCCTAATCTTGATAAACGTCTTTTACGAGTAATCAAACACCCTTATTTGTTAAATTGAATTTTAATGCCGATTTGCCAGTACAAGTCTGGTATTAAAATGTGTTTGTAAACGAGATTACTCCGAAATGTTTAACATTTTTGTTGAGTCTCAAATTGAAACATAAAATTCGTTTAAGAAAAATGTTTAGCCTAGTAAATTAAATTAAGTCGGAGTTTCAAACTTATTACTTCAATTAAGCAACTGCGTAGACATTTTCATTGTTTGGTAGGATTAAATACACCTGCATTTTATATGAGTTGATTTTTTCGCTAAAAAGGATTACTTTTGTAATATTCCAGAAAAAAAATAGTATCTTTCTCTTAACGATTAAAGTAGAGGTAAAATTAACAGACATTAATTTGCGGAACTAAAATAAATTGTTATTTTTGTGTACGAGAATTACTGGAACCCTCGATCAAGGGTTTCTCATTTGCCCAAGCCGGACTTACATATTGGTGATGATTAAGAAAAGGGTCAAATTAAAAGCACCCACAACTGATGAGCTCCCACGAAGAAATCAATGAATGTGGATGGAATGAGAGACTTCATTTATTCAAAGAATTTTGTGTTTTCTAACTTCGTCTTTCGATTCATAGCGCGCGAGATAATTTTTACTTACACATCGTCGTTACGATGTGTAAGTAAAAATTATCTCGCGGTATGTTCTACTGCACAATTTAAATAGTAAATGATTACTCAGTTGATGCATTCATGTCGACGAACGGATGACTACTAATTTGCAAAAAACTATTTGTACATTGTTATATTTTTAGGGGGAGGGGGGGGGGGGGGTGAAGTACGTATGGAAATACACTTCCTACATCCGTTACTATACAAACTTTTATTTTTCCCTTTAAATGTTATACCAGCTTTTCTAACGATTTTGGTAAATTAACTTGCTTCTTTAATTCGATTTTCCACACAAAATGTAACTATGTCTTTCGACAACTCGTCTCGCGGATATGCCGATAAAAATTCGTAGTTTATATAAAAACTCGTGATTTCTGGCATGTAGGAACATTAAATTGCGCGATTTTGCAAATACTTTTTTACAATACTTCTTGTTACGTACCTAACAACTTTTCCAGGAATTCTATGAGAGACTGTTCCTAAATTAAACAAATTATAATTGATTGAAAAACAAAATATTAGTAATTTCCCTTCAGTAAAATAAAGCTTAGTGTCCGTTTATATAGGAACAGCAGGTTAAATGCACCTGAAGTAGTATTTTTGTCTTCATCCTTAACACATCTGACTATCATCATCATAGAGACATAGAGAATCATCAAAGAACTGTATCAGACTCTTACTGACTAAAAACCACCTCTTTCTTTCACCTAGCACGTTTCCACGCTTGCACCTCCATCCTCGACTAGACAACGAGCCTTTTTTTATGAAAGGAAAATCATCAAAAAAAAATTCAGCCGCCCATAGTGAGGCGAGAGTCGGATAGTTGTATCACGCTCTGTCATCATAGTTGTATCCGCTTCTTTCTTTGCGAACATCACTGCTTCGCAGAAAGAGAAGACGGCTTTCCAATTTCCTCTCGCTCCGCATGACCATGACCTCAACTAAGGCTGGACGCAAGTGCCGCTGCCGATTAGACATCGAGCCTGGTAGGTTACATCTGTTCGCAGACCCACTTTTGATGCCTTTGGTGTTGCAATCGTACATAGACTACGATGACTATTAATACGCAGCTTGAAGGTTTTGGTGCTTCCTTTAGTAGTAAATATGTATATTAATATAAAATAACACAGAAAGGATTTCCTTGAGACCGACATATAAGGTAGATCTACGTATTGTCCGACAAATAGCTCCTGTACTATTTGGGATGGGCTACAATTATCTTGATTGATTCCAGCGTCGATGTACTCTGTGATTTATGATACTAGGATATGAATTTTCAAGGGAAAGGGTTACAATAGTGCCCGAACTAAATTGATTCTTACAAATTGCGAAAGTTCACAGACCTCTAAATGGTAAGGAAGCTGTCAATAAAACAATCTTGTTTGGATTGGTCCCCAACGGGACTTATTTTTGTTATTTTTTATAATGTTTGTTATTTTTACTATCGGGGGTTTTAAAAAAATTAATTAATTTTATACTTTTATATCATTCTACATTGCTAAGAGCAATCTCGATTAAGTCATGAACATTCCTTTGCAGTGCGCTTTCATTTAAGATCCCACTCGATTATATTTGCAGACCTCTAAGTGTGGGAGAACCATGCTTCGGCACGAATGGGGCGGCTCGACCGAAGTGATACCACGGCCTTA